AAAAATTTGCATTCGACCATAGTCAGTGACATTCATATCGTCTTTTCGTTTAGGGTGGATAAGGGCATAGGATTAATTTTATCAATGTTGTGTTTTGAAATATATCTAAACAGATTGGTCCTTTGAATTTTTATTGCAGTAAATTGTAAATGAATGGTTCAACTAGCAGGTAATTTTGAGTATTGATTAAAACCGCACCCAATGCACCCTGCCTCCTCCCCCATGCATCGAATTGATCGCGCACTCTAGAAAGAGATGTCATTTCTTCATCAGTTCTGAGTGACCAGGAAGTGGATGCGAGGCGGTCCAGATACTAAGTATACGAATATATCAGTTTTAACCGATTTAGTACATCGTTGTAAGATATTAATGTTAGGTATTTGATGATAACTTATTTGTGTTTTATTTTTTATGTCTAAATGCGTAAAGCTGTTTTTTCGTAATGCCCCGAGCATTCCTGTTTTGCGTCCTCAATATTTCCTTCAGCCTTTCTCATCCTATTAAAACGATAAAAATGTAATTGAACTTCATGTTTACTATTTTGAAAGTAGACATACTAGTGGTAGTAAAACGTTAACGTAAATTAAGTTTTAGCTATCAACATGTGAATATTTAGTGAGTATTTGTTAAGTATTATACAATGTACTTTCTTTTCCGAATTAAAATGTAATTATAAGTATACATGTTTTACGTCATAAAGTTGCTACATATCAAAACGTTAAAATATTTGAGGTAAGATATAGGAGAATTTCGAGAAACGGATTTTGCTATGTTACCCCAAATCTCAAAAATGGCGTCATAGGTTAAATGTCATTCATTTAAAAGCAAAGGAATTAGACGGTGACCACAGAATACGTGCTATCCGAAATGTGAGCGTAAAGGCAATTATTTACGAGTTTATTCTAGTCCTGTCTATGTGTATGTATAATATTAAAAAGCATAGTCTGGGCCTGTTATAACGCATTCCACTGCGTCTCACTAAGGTTTACAATAAATATAAATTCGTTTTCGAGTTTTGCATTTCACTCTTATGTCATCACGAGTGAAACTTGCTAGTGTCTGTCTTCTAGGGACCCTAGAACCGAATTTTCCTGTGTATGGATTGTATTTCCTTGGTGATTAAGGGGAAAGTGTTTTTCTATTTTTAGAGGATTAAATGTTTGCAACATATCAGTAAGAATCTTACGCTCACTGTGTGTCTTAAACGTTGGTTTTACTTTAGTGCTCGGAAAAAAAATTAGAAATTTCTCTCTCCAGTCAACTTCATTCTTTCCACCAAGTCGCCTAGTTAAGTCAATTTGCTCGCATGTAAGAACTAGTTATGCTTGGAAAGTTACAAAAGTTGGTATTGACAATGACTGTAGCTTATATAACGTATTATTTCTGTCTCTCGACAAATATCACATTGTAATTAACGTACGAGTTGTACATACTTTTGTAAATCTTTTCTTATGTAATAGTATTTTTGACATTTCATTTCCCCGTTCAGTGTATCATATGTTATTCACATCGTTATGTTATGTGATTATGCCAAATCCTGGTTGGACAATGAAAATTGATTTAGAAACGATTTTTGATTATTTTGGAAAAACACGTGTACTAAGAGCGTGCGCCTATTTCCTTCCCAACATTAACCACCACTTTCCATCGTCGCATCAAAAGTTGCTGAATTTTTCCTTAATACTTACGGTTATACAGAGAGAAAATAACATTGCCAAATGTTGGAGATTTCTATGAGGCAAAATTCTGAAATTCTGGTCAATTTGGAGTGTTTTGGGAGTTGATTATGCGAGTCCAGACTAATCTTTTTCTATTTTCTTGTGATGGTGTTGGTGGGAGGAATACAAAAACTGGCGCTGTTTTTTATATAAAAAGGGAAACGTTAAAATGACTTTCTGAAATATTTTGCTTAAATTAAGATCACATGCAAATATAATACTAGTAGTTACGTTGTTAGGTGATAATTTTATTCTCCAAATCAAATAAATAGATTAAAATTGTTGTCCTTTTGAGTGAGTCCTGATGCAGACATCATTAACCTTGTCTAACGTGTTATATTTGAACATTCTAAACTTGAAAATATTGTTTCAACAATGTAAATTTACAGGTAGATGCTTAAAAGATAAATGAATATATACATTAATGGAAATTTGCTTGTTCTGAATAAACAATTTCCAATGATGCAAATGTCGTTGCATTTTCATTGTCTCCGTGGTACCCCACTGGCTGTGGTTCGTTTTCTGGCTCGGATACTTAAAAATCATTGAATGCATTTCAAGAAGAATTTTTCAAAATTTTCCTCTGGTTACTATAAGAAGAAAGTCTACCGGGGGAGGGTGGGTGGGAACAGTTAGAGGAGTAGGTAACGCGCTTGCCTCCAAGTCAACAGGTCCCTAGTTCGAATACTGGCTCTCCTGGGTCCCAGCAAATTACCTTTTGCAAAAATAAACTTAAATCAGCAATTATGTTGTTACTACAAGAGAGGCAATACACACAAACGGAAGGAAGTAGAGTTAGCTCAATCGGTAAAACGTTTTTTTTTTTTTTTTTTTTTTTTTTTACTTAGGACCGAAGACTCACAATTGAGAGTACAATGGAAAAAAATTAATTTTGCATATCTAAAAACAAAGTACAACAAATGTATACGTTTATTACTGTCTAAACAAATATAGAGTAATACATCACAGAGTTAATAAAAACTAGAAATTACAATTTTGCTTTACATTAACAGCAGTTTCTATAACCGTACAACGCAATATATGTAAAACCACAATGCAAACACAAACAAGTCCCAACGTCTCTAGCTGAAGTGTGTCGGAGATTCTATACATTTTGAAAATCGCTGCAAAAACGACTCATCCTCTCGACTAAAAAGGCTGGGATGCCACGCTGAACATTGCATTGTACAGAACAGAATATTTAGATATTTCTGATCAGAACTGATAGACATTTTGGAAGATTTATAATATTTCACTTTGCAACTTTTGTTCAAAGCTGACCTTGGTGTATTTGGCGTATAACTAACTGCAAATTTCACCGAGAACAAATGCAGTGATGTGAGCCATATCAAAATTTCAAAATGCATTTATATTAATCTCATGATGCGTTACCTCGCACGCGCACACGCCCTGTTCTACATCTTGGTGCAGATTCTCGCGCACAAAACCAGTGGTAGCAAAAATAATTCCTTTTTTATAAGTTTCGTGGTTGTTCTGCTCATCAATAAATGTTTCTAATAACTTAGATCATACTGTTTTTTTTTTTTCATTAAACCTTAAAGCTTAAATAGATGGCACAATTTTAGTGACAACTTCTATTTGAACAGCGTGCTAATCATGAACAGGAACGGCATAAAAATAAGTCAGTTTACAAGCTTATCCCAGCCATAGCAATCACTGAGAATTGTATGCAAACAAAAATGAAAAGATTGCACAAATATAATTTACATTACATAACGTAACACATTCATTCAGAAATACTAAAAACCTCAACTCTGTTCTCTGATGTTCAGTGATATTAACAAACACCCAGTAAAATGACCCAATAGGGCTTGCGGGACTGGTATCTAATCAGACCTTTTCCTCTCCTGACCGAAGATACAATAAAATTAACAAAGCACTCGGTAGTCCAACTTTAAATAGCAGACTGGCCTACAAAATGTTGGTCCATCTTTTTACTAAAAAAAACTTCAAATAACAAAGTATTATCATTTGTATTATATGACAGAGAGTCAATTTGCATATTTATAGATAACAAATGTTTCGAATAAAGTAATTTTGCGATTATTAGGTAAATTCTCAAATAACTAACCAAGCGAAAAGAACCGCTAAAAGTAGTGTGTTTCAAATATTAGAGGACATATTCATATAATTTTTCTAAAACTTCTCTGTAACTTAATTGCGTATTTAATTGTTTCATAATTTATTTGGGCAAGGTTAACTTATGTTGACGGTTCTTCATGTTTCAGTTAAGAAAACTCATTAACCCCTCCCACCCCCTCGTCCCTCAAACAAGGGTTTCTCAGACGGCTGAAGTAATTAATTGGAATTGCGCTGGAATCTTACGAAATTTAAAACGGAAAGGTTCTGATAAATACCAGTCCTACATAGATATTTTAATGCATACGGACAAAGATGTTTTTCTAGAAGAGCGGTTACATTTCCGCTTTGCCATATTGACAATAATATATATATCACTGAATACATGCATCTGACTATCTCTCAATTTTCTTGTATAAGTATTATGCGTAATGAATTTGAAATATTATTATTTCTTTTCTATTATTATTTCTAGAACGTCTACTTTACATCAAAACCAATAGCTGAATTCAATTTAAGATAATTCAAAATACATATTTCAAAACAATCTTCAAAGGCACAGCTAAGTGACTAACTGAAGATTTGTCCACAGATAATTTATAAACGTCAAACAGAAAACGGTTATCCTGTGGATAAAGTAGTTTTCTCAACGCCAGCTACTTATTTTTGACTCTGATATTGCTATCCAGTGATTAAAAATGGCTGCTTTCCTCAGAATAACTGTCCAGAGAATGTTAAAATGTTTAAATAAACTACCATTTTGAAGATTTATATAAAATCACCGTATATATCTTTAAGAAATTATTATAAAAATGCATATATGAATATCTACTATATCTATCTAATATTATACTTTTTGTGTCGGGGCAAGGTACCCATCAGTTCTCAAACCAAAACGGTAGTTTTTGGAATTCTCATAAACAAAATAATTTCAGTGCAAAAAGTGTTTAGCTTTAGTAATGTATGTAAACAGAAATGATAGTTATTAAGTTATCATTAAGTGATGTTCAGGTAGAATATTGCGCTAGCACATAGGACCCAGTTTCATCAACACTGGATAACGCTATACTATGCAGGGACGGATCCAGGATTATTTGAAGGGGGTGGGGGTGGATGCAAAGCCGCCCCCCCTTTGTGTGGGGTTTGGGGCCCTTTAAAGGGCCCCAAAATATTTTGGTTTTTTAGAGGGCGAACGGTGCCATTTGGTACGGATTAGAACTATGATTCAGCTTGTCAAAATTCTAATTTCAAGAGGGAACTAAGGGTGTGTTTTTTCCTTATAGTAGATCTTCATAGATGCATTTTTATAATAACTTTTAATAAACTACCATGAAACGTCATGGGCGGATATAGTAGTGTACTGCCACTGTACTGCAAATGTATAATACATATCCAGCGACATGCAGGGTTGACGAAGTCCATTTCTTTCTTTTTTCTGTTCAGTTGTTTCTTAATTAAAATGGTATTTGCGCTCAACAGTTCAGTTGATAAACATTTTATGCAGAGTATTACAACCCAAGCCAAATATTATGTTTCATACCAAATAACTATGTCAACCCTGCTAATAAACTAACTGGGAAACTTCAAGAAGCGAGTCAATCTTGGCACGAATCTAAAGTCTCTGAAGGGGGGCGCATCACCTAGTGAACAACAGGAAGGAGTCACTGAAAATAAACAAAGAACATGACTTTTCATAAAACGGTTTGATAAAGCATATATAATTTCAGCATCTCGCTTTGGTATGCACGTTATTATGTAGGAAAATACTATTCAACTTAAAAATGATATAAACATATTTAATGAAGAATAACGTTCTCTGCAATCATACACTTTACAACAGTTTCATTCCTATTCTTTTATACCCTGTGCAGACTATTTATCGACGACATACTTCTTTGCATTCATAAGTAAGATGCAATTCATAAAGACCAAGCGCTCGGATTACGGGGGTATTTACGGAAACGAAAGTCAGTAAATGAAAACGTGTGATAGAAAGATTAAAAAAGATTATCTAGGCACGTTTTCACTGGCCAAACCCTGATTTTTATGGCCGGGGGGGGGAGAGGATAATAAAAACAGAAGACAAAGATCAACTTTCTGTTATTTGTAGGGTATGTTAATGAAAAAATAACTGGATTTTGTCTAGTTTGGTTTCATGAACTGTTTTTTAAATTATTATTGTTTTGTTTTCGTTCTTTATGAGGACGCAGACATACCTCTTAAACTAAGGGGGGGACACGTGCCCACTGTACCACGCCACAACCCCCCACCCACCCACACCCACTTACCCAATCGGTTCCGTCGTTTCCAGGAATGAAGTAACATAATAGTCTAACATCGTTTTTCCTTTAATGTTTACTTAAAAAAGTAGGATACCATTAAAAAACAAGTCCATATTGTCGCCAATAAAACAGTGCCCACAAGGGAGTGTATATGTCCACCTACCCTGTCGACTTATAATATTGAAGAAAGGACTCGTTCGTTTGGACAGCGGAGACAAGCCCTTCACTTCTTCAATGGCAAATGCGTTCCCTCTATAAAATGACAGAAAATAAACTATTTAAACTTCAAGCTGATTTTAGACTTTCAGTGGAATGTATTTGACGTTAAGTACTGGTACAATGTACCATCGTTCAAAAGGACTGAAGTTGCGAAATGTACCATTTTCGCTAATGCAAACTTGGTAAACGTTATATTATATATCTATACAAAAAGGTATAAGGCAGCTTGCTGTCATTTTTGGTGATAAATCTTAGACCAACATGTGGAAATTGTAATAACGTACCCTGAACCTCTGTCTTCGCCATCTTCTACTGACCTTGGTCCTATCTGAACACCTCTCACCAAAATGCTTACCTGAATTACATAATCATGAATTATATAATCAGCTCACCAGCAGCACTCAAGCTTCGATTCTAAAAATGTTACATTTAATAATTTGTGAATGATAATTTGGCTTGCTGGTATCTAAATGATAAAGACAATGACATTTTATCAAGCATTATATTTGATATCAGATTATCAGGCTAAGCAACCAGATTTCATTTGTCGAATGAATAAATAGCTGAAGATTGTGCTAGAGAAGACATAATGCGGCCGGTTTATCTGAAATGATGCCAGAATTTTTGCATATCTATATTTTTTCTGGTTATTTCTTGTTATTTCTGTGCAGTTTCTGCAATGAAGCCGGAATGCACAGATCTGCGTCACTGACAATGTTTGTTCTGTTTTCAAATCTCACGTTTTTTAGTTTCATAGGGAATGAGTCCTATTCGTTCTACGCAGATCGATTTAATATTAAGGGCACATTTTTGCAAAGGAACATTCAAAATGAAATGATAAAAAAATCTTATTTATATGTTTATGATATGCCTTCAACTACACAATGATGTATTAACCATTGTTATGTCTTATTCAAATGTCAAGTTATAAATGACTTTCTTCCCCTATCCCAATCAATCGGGAATTTAATTCTTACAAATTGAAATATTAAGTCTCAAATGATAATTAAACAATTGTTTTATGGGATTTACCAAACAGACTCTAAAAATATAGTATTGGCGCACATCCCCTATAGAAGTAAACTTCAATGCTTTTTTCCGGAAATTTTTTTAATTCGACCTCATTTGATATTTGACCCCTCTTTACTTATCATTATTCAATATTACATAAATTTAGTTACTTACATGTTTAGAGCAGTCCTTTAACTAAACAATGACATATAATCCTTTGTTATATCTTATTTAAATTGCAAGCTATCAGGCCCGTAGCCAGGGGGGGTTCGGGGGGTTCGAAAGAACCGCCCCTTTTGCTGGGAAAAGGTCCACTCTGGGTGAAATTTGACCTAGGTACATGAAGTTTTTATGGAAAAAGGTCCACTTTTTCAGAAAAAGAACCCCCCTTTTGAAACTGCTGGCTACGGGCTTGAGCTATAGATGATTTCTTTCCCTACCCCTTTTGTAAATGCGGTTATATAGAGCCATGGGGTGTTACCATGCCCGCTGTAACAGTAAGAACTGTTGTCCGCTTCCCATTACTTTGTTCAGGTGACATTCGTCCCATATACTAACCCCAATACTTCAACTAACCGTAACCTGTATATATATATATATATATATATATATATATAAGACCCCATATATATATATATATCTGGGACCCCAGACTTCCATTCCTGTTACATCGGTTCGGATATCGCATGGCAAATGTAACCTAGGCTTTTTTTACACAGTAGAATACAGCTGGATTACAATCTAGTAACACTGGTCACAAAACTGCTGTATGTGTAACAAATTCACAAACTTCTCAAAACCGTGTGAACCGTGTAAAATTGGTGACTATTATCCGAAATTTAGCTCAGCCGTAAAGAGATAACCGATCCAATATTTAATGGACGTGTCTCTATCTAATACTATCTAATAGTGCTTCTCTTCTTCCGATATACAGTATCATAATCTGGGCTCATATCAATGTCTTCACATCGTATGCTTCTAAGGGGCCATCATAGGCCTGTATTCTGTATAGGTCTAACAAATCCGCTGATCAAATATGGCCGACCCACTTAAAAGATTGCCGCGAAATCCTCGCGGGGAATGCCTTTTTGCTATCCACTTCGTGATATCCATGGTCATTTTAATGACCGATTTATGAAGAGTTTAGCTTATTTAAGGTGCCATCCAGCTTACATGCACATATACATGACAATAAAAAGTTCTGGTATTCTTTCAAAAATATGTTCCCATTTACTTTCCAATAACACAGATATTTTATACGAACAATGAATCTAATCGGTAGAAAACATGCGGGCCGAACCGTCTTATTTACTGGCCACTGTCTTTATTATTCCTACCATATTCTTTTCTTCGTAGCTCATGAAGAAGTTTTCACATTTTATACAATTTGTTTACATATTTAGCTCTACTCTATGTATAATTTATAAAGCGGTCACAGAGAAGAAACCACAATATATTTCAGAACTCAATGAACTAATCAGCGGGGACGCGTATCACTACGACTTTATGGTAAACGGGCTTTTATGATATTTGCAATGAAGCTCTGGAATAATTTACCTACTGATTTTACAAGAACCGTATATGACTAAGAAAGTTTTAGCAAACTTTTAAGGACCCATATTTTAAAATAAGTTTATAGTGATTAATCAAGCAAAGTATTGTTGTTTTCGATCTTTCATCCTTTAGATCATTCTGAATTATTATTGGTGAACGGGCTTTTATGATATTTGCACCAATGCTATGAGATAATTTACCTGCTGATACAGGAACCGTACATAATTTTTAGGAACCTACATTTTTAATCAGTCAATAGTGATTAATAAATCAAAGTATTATTGATTCTTAATAATCATGTTTAACTCTCAGATTCATGATTTAAATATAAAAAATATTTGTAACTTTTATAATCAATATAATCAATATTTTATAATTATATATGTATATTGAGACGTTTTTCTATAGAGCTTGAAAAATGTAGGCCCTAGCTTATACGTTTTCTACTTACTGACTCTGAGTGAGGGTTACATGGCGTTGTGATAGACATACGGTATAATTAAATTTTGATAGAAGCTGTTAAAACATACGACTTTGATTGGCAGTTTTATAAACAACCGTCAATCACAAGCATTACTGTTGATAAACATAGTCGTCGACATGTAAAATTCCAGCTTACTACATCCTTTGATTGACAAGGCGTCAATCAAATCCATTCAGTTTTGATAGATGCTGTCAAGTGATAACAGCTTGATTGACGGGTTACATAAACAAACGTCAATCATCGCGCATTTGATCACTATAGCGGAGAAACAGAGAGTACGCCGAAAAGAGAGCGCGCTATCTCCACAAGTCTGTATATAGTTTAAGTTTAGACCATTAAGGGCAACATTTTCCCTTTATTATATTACATGTATTTGAAGAGAATGTATAGGCCTACAACTACAAACATACAACCTCTGTTTTGATGCATTGTTCCCGTAATGTCTACTATAACGCATTTGATTACTAATTAAAATACTATGTTATTAGAATAATGAAAATAGAGAAATAGTTTTAAATCAAAGAGCCTAGTAAAGAAGCAGTAGTACTGCCCACTGGGATAATATAAAGGGATGATGAGAATCTGTTAAAGTAATTTGAACTAATTATTAGTTATTCAGCCAGCGCTGGGCGTCCTCACACTCTTCCCTGTGCTGCGTTTATTCGATACCTGCTTGCTGTTGACGGCTTTAGTGTTCATCTTCCTATGTAGCCAAAAATGCACATTAGTAAACTGTTATGACGTGCAAACATTTTATTAATCATTTCTTACAAAGTCCATGCAAGAAGCGATCACTGTCTTAAACTACCAAGTACATTACACGCGAAGGTGAGGTGAATGCGGACTAAAATATTTCCTTTAGATGCAATGTAACAGAGTCTATCAAATGCAGAAACAGAAAATATTAGAAATTTTTGTCGTGTTATGTCAAAAGATGTAAATTCTAACTTTTAAGCGAGGTTTTTATGTCTTCTTCTTTTTTGTATTATAATTATTTGTGTAGTCTTTTTTCCGTACAGCGCTTTATGCTGGGCGTGGCTCTGACCCCTTCACAGTCAGCTTCGCGAATTAATGTGAATTGTAGGATACACTGAACATCGATATCTCTAATGCATAAATATATTATTTTTCAAATAAAAACAAAAGGAATAAATTATTTTTCATGGTTACAGTTTTAATGCTTGGATGCCTTCTGTATGAAGTTTTATGATAGAGATACACTGATATCTCTTGTCGTAGGCCTATGTTATATGAGTGAAAATATTTCCCTAGATTGTTTATGGCACGTCATGTGAAAGTAACAACCGCGGGGAATGTCAACCACTCGGGGAGACTTGCGCCATGACGAACAACCACTGCCTTCACCCAGAAATAATATGTAGAGGTGCAAATGATGCCACAGGCACGCTCTTAAATTATTTAGTGCACGGGTTAGAAACTATGTTTGATAATAGTGAAAATGCTCTTTTGCCACAAACTTCAGAATTACTTACAAGAGATATTTGTGAAAAATGGAATTTTTTACTAATATTATTCACTAAACTGATGAAAGTTTTTTAACATCTGTGTTTGAAAATTTAAGGGTCCCACATGAAGAAGTTCGTATCAAAGTTTTACTGTCCTGTGACCATGAAGAATAAATAATGATTCATCATCTAATCCCAAATAGGAACATAAGTTACTGTCTCATTTGGAGAACTTCAGCCGCGGAACCGTTTTAATCACGTTGAAAATTCGATCAGCACTGGTTTTATTCTTTAATGTATCCCCTGCAAGTATAACGGTGTAAAAAACATGAAAATCTTCTGCATAAGGCGATTAACTCTTTGTATGATTTTAGTTTATTTGTCACTGAATATTATAAAAAGAAAAAATGCAGCATGCTGACAGCAAAAGAAGCCTTATATGAACTATTTTTTATTCGTGGAGCCAAAAAAAAAAGTCAGAAATGCGTGGAGACGATGTCGTCCACGAGTAACCTCGAATGTAATGCTAAGAGCATTTGCTTCGCCATTGTTGGGCCAAAAGTTTGCCGTCTCCTACACCACGGAGCGCCCTCTGGGATGCCCCTGTGCCAAAGGGCTAACATGTCAAGTTACCTACCAGTAGGCTTCCTGCATATCCTTCACGTCTCCGGAAAATGTCTGGCCTAAAGTTTGAGAGCTTTTCCTGATCCGTTTGATCATTGACAAATGACACATTAACCATGCTGTATGTTTCAACCAAACTTTATGGGTATTATTACATTCTTGCTCTAGTGAGAATAAACATATTGTTTTAGCCACTCGCACGACTTTTTTTCCCTAAACGCTAGC